ATTTAATGTAATTCTGGGCATATATTAGAAATTTCAGTAAAGACTTGTTGAGACCCTCTACCTGAAAAATTCAAATTAAATTTTAAAATAGTTTAGCCTTAGAATGAAGGTAGAAATGAAGCTTACTGTGACAGTATCAACTAGATGAATTTTATATTTCTTAAAGATAGCATAATTTTTTTTAGTCAAAAAGTTCTACAATGCACTTTTCCCTTTGTGTGATAGCCTTAAACAGAAGTAGAACTGATTCTTGGTGCTTTGCCTTGAGTTTGGTTGTAGCTACTTCCATGAAGAGCCTATTCTGAGGAATGAGGTCAAGCAGCACAGCAGTGGGTGAGGGCATCCCTCAGCTTTGGATTAATACCACATGGAAACACTACTAAGTGGCAGACTAAAGTGGCCTAGCATAATGAAGCAACACTCCTGTATATGTACTGCTCTTATCTAGGGGGAAAAGACCAACAGGTTACTCAGTCTACAAATAGGAAATGGGGCTATACGTGTTATTGATCCCTTTTTTAATATCACAGCATAGTTCTTTCTGGCCTTTCTTTGGCATGCATTGTTCTTTCTGCCTCAGTTGTCTTTCCTGCCTTGTCTACCCACCTAATGTCTACTCATTCTTCAAGACTAGTTCAGAAGTTGCCGTATCTCAAAATGCTCCAAGATGTACCGATAGTCAGGTCCCTGCCTGTGGCTCCCCGGGAAGGAATGCCGGGAGATAAGAGAACATACCTTGTTCACCTTTATACCCCAGCAGCTCACCCTGCATTTGCCTTATGCTTATTAGGCCTGTGTAGCAGTGCATGTAGCACCAAAGCCCACCGACCCTGCATGCCTTAGTATAAACATCTGAGCTTTGCTTAATGCATTTGTGAAGTCTTGTCTTCCTTGTTTAACAGATGTGCGTTATAATAAACATAATGCTGATTTAAGATGGCATGTATATTGTTATCACATCACTATGAGAAAATTCAAATAAGAACAGCAAGGGAGAGTAACTGAAGAAAGAGAGTGAGAAGAAGGTTCTAAAGGACAGAGAAGTGGGCAATGGCTATTTCAAACCTCTGGAAAGTAGTGGTCAGTTGAAGTTGTGCTTGAAAGCATTGTGGCCAGTTTTATGCCTCCAGAAAACATGTATAGGAGAATCTGTTTTAATTTTAAATGAAATAATTCCTTACATTTGTTAAGTGTTTCTTTTATACCAAGTATAGTTCTAAGCACTTTAAATGTATTATATCATTACAACAACCCTGTAAGGTAAGTACTGTTGTACCCATTTTACAGAGAAGGAAACTCTCTTAAACTCAACTAAGTAACTAGCCAACAGTCACTCAGCTATTTGGAAGGTCATTCATTTCTATGTGGTACATTCCAGTAATGATCTTTACTAATGAACTAAGACATATTGGTTTACATTCTGCATGTAATAGAAGTTTTTACTGGGAGATTTTGATATATATGAGTGGGAGAGGGTGTTTCTTTTAAGAAAAGGGAATAACATCTCACGTGTTTTTTTTTTTTTTTTTTTTTAAACTTAATGGGTTTCCCAGCTTCTAAGTTTGGAGCATAGATCTAATTAACATGTTAGGAAAGAAAGGTAACTGGAGAGAGCTATGTCAGAATTGCTAAGGAACATTTGAATAAAATGAGTCTGTCTTGATAACAAAAAAGATTTATTATTTGTATTTGTCGATGGTGATGGTAAGACTGAAGTTTTCTTTTTCTCTCCAGGGCTGGTTGATATGCGAGGAGCCAACCTGTCGCAATCGAACTCGGCACCTTCCCCTTTACTTCTCCCGAAATGGGCCTCTTTGCCCAGCTTGCATGAAAGCTACACTTAGACCAGAGGTAAAAGTCTCATATGCTAAAGAATCATGTGGAAGTGGGTAGAGGGCTATTTGCCCATCCCTTAACTCTGGGAAGTAGATACTGGGTATTTGGCCTGTGCAGACACCCTACTACCATATGTATATACTATTTTTTAAATATCCAGACTTCAAAAAGATATATGTTTTATTTTTGTGTGTGTCATGAGCAATACTATATTTATATCTAAAAGGGACGCTGACTAGTTCTCATACGGGTTACTCAGATTTCTTTGGTTGCCACTTCATAATTACAGAAGAAAGATGCCATTCCTTTCTAGAAACTTCTGTCATCTTTGGACTTGATCAGAACCCCTTTTGTAAGAGTCATAAAACCTCCCAAACCTGTACCCTAAGGGGTTTATTTTGTGGGTTTTTCCCCCTCAGTAGGATTAAGTTGTTTATAAGTAGCTGCATAGATCATTAGTTCTCAAGCTTTCTCTGTACCTTAATACATACACCTGAGGGATTAGGCATGCTATCATTAGTGACTCCCAACTGTGAAGGTAGAGTCTGGAAACACCTCCCTGGTAATTAAAATGCCTTCCCTCTGTTGCCCCCTTTGAGCATCTTCAGCCCAACCAGCACTTCCCAAACTGTAGAGAGAAGAATGTTTGCAGGTCTTCAGAGCATAGAGGGTTTTATGATCAAGTATGTTTAGCAAATGCTGGGCTAGCCAAAGTTAAATAGGTTTATTGCAGATCTTCTCAGAACTTGCAATATGATAATGTGCAGTCTGTCCCGCCAGTACAGGGTTATAATGTGCCTTGCTTTGCAAATTTATTTGTAAGGTTTTTGGTGAAAAGAAGGTAAGCCTGGGAAACTGTTATTTATTTACTTATTTTTTTTAAATGCAGAGACAGGGTCCTATAACCAAGTTTTGACTTCAGATGTTTTC